ACGGGGAGAGCAGACCTGCCCCTGCCCTTGCCCCATCACCAGGGTTTTGACCTGTGCCTGTATCCCTGTCCCTGGTTCCCCAGAACCTGCAGGGAATATCTCTGAAAGAAGCATCTTGAGGCTGGGGGCTATATTGGGGGGCCATGTCAGGTCTGTCCCGGCTGCTCAGAGTGGGGTTTTGGGCACCTCTGGAAGCTCAGAGTCTCCTGAGTGGATGAGCAAATGGCCAGGACAGGAACGAACAGGAAAAGGTAAGGTATTTTTCACTTTGCCAAAGGGAGCCCTCTCAAGCTGACTTGGGGACTGGGTCATCCGTGGGATAAAATACCGTAAATCAGGTAGCAGAAGTTAGGGCTAGGGCTGGGTCCGGTTAATGTTTTGATGGAAAAACTAAAGGAAAAATTCTGGGTTTGTGGGATTGGAAGCTGTTGCTTCTTTCCTGATGTCCCATGGGGCTGGACCCCAGCCCAAAAGGAGCCTCTGTGCTGGACGCCCCCGTGCTGGGGCGGGAGGGGGGCTGGTTTGTGTGGTCTTCCCGAACCCCATTTACAGCCAGGCAGGCTGTGAACCCGCTCGTCACGCAGCACCTCGGGGTGCCAGAAAAGGAAATCCCAATCTGAAAACAACCTGAGGTTTTTAGGGGTTTTAAATGGTTGTGGCTTCAGCTGGAGCGGGGGCATACAGTGCCCCCGGGCACCGGCCCCTCCTGCCCCTTGCTGCAGCTCCTGGGGGGGGCTGGCATCTGCTGGGGGGGCCAAAATCGGGAATTTCAGGGCAAAAATCCCGTGCTTTGGCTATCTCCCCTCTGGCAGGGGGAGGCAGGCGGTTACCAGGTTTCCCACTGGAGATGCTCAGGTTCAGGTTTTTGCTTTGAGGAGTCACGTACTGGGGGGGTGGTGGTGTTATTTTAAACCATTGTCACTGTCGAAGCAAGCCTGGGTTTATTTAGTCCTTTAAATCATTTCCACCACCTTGAAAATCTCTCTCCAAGACCCCAGTTTGGCAGCTGGAGCTACAGCCCGGGGTCTTGGCACCCCTGCCTGCGGTGGGGGCTGCGGCAGCTCTGCCGACCCTCGCCCACCCGTGAGCAGCCACGTACCGTTTTCCACGGCGCGTACACGATCTCCTCTTCGCTCAGCCCCAGGCACTTGGCCTGGTGCTCGAACCCTTCCCGGTGGGCTGTGCTCGCGCTCAGGTTTCGGGCTGGGAAAAGAGAAGCGTTTGCCAGGTGTTAAATATGGACTGGGGGCCTCGGCATGGCCCTTCGTACCACATCCCTGCCCTTGCTGCCTCCCTTCCCCGTGCGCCCACCAACGCTTGCTGTGGACGTGGTCTCTGCCGGGGTCTCTCACCCCCACGGTGAATACACCCGAACAAAATCAACCTCGGGCATCACTTTTTTTAACCCTCGCTCTGATCCTGTCTGCTTTAAGGGGTTGCAGGATAGTCTTATACTCCTGGGGCATTGGGAGGGACTGAGGATGAGTATGGAGGCAGTTTTCTGTACGTGTCTTCGGACGCTTTTAAACAACTGCTTTGCAGCTTGGAAGGGCAACGGGAGGCTTTATCGAGGTCTAAAATGCTGCGTTATGGGGCTGTGGGTTGATCTGATCGGCTTTGCCTATGCCGGTACTGCAAAGCCACGTCCTCTGCCCTGGGAGGTAAGTACTGAAAAATCATGATTGGCTTGAAAATACCGAGATTTTACAAAGATATCGATGCTGAATTGTATTTGCTTCCTGTTCTTTGAATATTTATGGTGTAAGTGGGTTTTGTCTTTAACTTGGTCTTTCTGCTCTGCCAAGAGATTTAGTTTTTAATGGGATTTGTAAATACTCCTGTGACCTCTGGAGCAGCGGTCTCGGGAACATCACTGCCTGTTGGTGAAACTAAGTTGCTGTGTGGTTTTAGCTGATAATTTTGTGTGCGTGTTTTGGTGTCCCATGATAGCTTTAAGTTACTTTAGGCTGGAGTTTGCGTACCATAGAGATACAGCCCTGCATACGTCCTTTCCCTCTGCAGTTGGTACTGGATGAGTAGAACATCTTCAGAGCTGAGGTTCATCAGCGTCCCCATGGTTTGCTGGGTCTTGGCTTTGAAAGAGCAGCGTCAGGGTTGGGAACAGCCACAATATTCAGATTTTCAGTGCTGCAGTAGCGATAGACCGCAGCCCGGGTGCGGGTGATGCCAGTAACCCCCGGGGTCCAGCCCTTAGCAGGGAGCGAGGACAAACGCCCTGACATGGGGCGACTTGTTCGGCTCTTGGTTTGTTTGAATCGTATTTCTTAAATGAGAAGGACCCAAAGTCACCCAGCTCCTGTCCGACCGTCACAACGTGCTGGACGGCGTGGCTCGCTGGTGCTCGGGGTACGAGCCTGGCCCCGAGTGCCCGACCTTGCAGGTTGGGGGGGGCTGCAAAAATGGGGAGAATCTGTCCCCTGCTCACAGCCGTGCTGTCCTGGGGGTCAGTGCGAACTGTATCTCGGGGGGTTTGCGGTTCCCACCCCAAATGGCTCAGCCCATTTCCTCAGTGAGGAGGAAACAGTTCAGAATGTGGGGCTTCATTAAGTGCTGAAACCTGCCACAAATGTTCCCCTCCTTTCCCTGAAGGATTGCAAAATAGCTTTACAAACGAGGTGGTCTTCTCCTACGGGGATGGGAGCAGGTTTGCTCCTTGCTCCCGGCACGGTATTGCTTCATAGGGTTTAGGGCGGCTTCGTGGCTTTGGCCGCAGTCCCCAGGGTGCCCCAGGAAGGTGCCCCCGGCCCTGGGGAGCCGTCTGGAGTCCACCGAGGCTTCAAACAGATGAAGCGACCCAGGAATAAAATGCATCAGATGATATAAAACATGGACATGGGCCCTTTGTGTGCCTCAGCCCATCCAAAAAACGGACTGGGTGATAACCCCGATGGCTGTGCCCGCCGGCGCTGCTCACCGTGCTTCACCAGCGTGGTGTTACCGGCGGCGATTTCGAAGTAGGTGTAGTTGTTGGTGAGACATTGGTCCCCCCTGGAGAGAGAGAGGGTGATGGAGGAAAGGGGAGCGGAGACCCCCTGCCGTGGGCTGGGAAGGACCAGCAGAGCCCTGGCCACGTCAGGGGGCATCTGCCAGCTCCTCCGCAGCGTTAATTGCTCTCGCCGTTAAAGTGAAGCCATTTCTGCCGTGCATTTGTCTGACCTCCACCTGCAGCTCGTGGTCCCAGCTCCTTGGAGACAAGGCATTTTCCACCTCAAAATAACTGAAACTGGGAAGAGCTGCCTGCGTTGGCACAGAAAAATTCACGCCCTTAAAGTCTGACCGTGGGGCAGAAACAGCTTTCAGTCCTCGGCAGAGTTGGCAGCCGCGGCGCAGGGACCTCTGGAGAGGTCTTCTCCTCCGGAGAGGTCTTCTCCTCACCTGTGTCCTCCAGCATCCACGCCTGCAGGACTTAGTGCCTGCGCCCTGCAAAATTTGCCTAAACCGGGGGGTGGGTGGGTGTTGAAGTAAATAAAAGAAGGGGTGAGGAAGAGAGGGGACAGGGGAGAAGGCATGAAGCGGCCAGGGGAGACACTCTCCTTGGGGAAAAAACCAGCCTGAAACCGTGCTCGTGTCTTGTGTTGAAACGGCTGCGGGGGGCGGCGTGTGGGGGGAGATGGGTTGGGGCAGAGACCCGAGGGCCGCATCTTACACGGCCACGCGCTGGGTGATGGGCAGCTCCTGCTCGCCGGCGCGGGGCTCCACGTGGAGGTAGCCGTGGTCGATGAGCAGCATCTCCAGGAGGTGCTGGGGGAACTGGGCGGCCCCGGCCACGTACAGCCACGTCCCCAGCAGCTGCGGGGAGAGAGGGGCAGGGTGGTGAGAGCTTTTGGGTTTGCGAGGGGAGCTTTGGGGAAAAGGTTTCCACCATCCCCGTGGCAAAATTGTTATTTTTGACCTCGGTACTCTGCGAGTTTTCCCTCTTGCGCTGCGTTGGCAGCAACAGAATGAAACCCGTGCAAATACGCGGCAGGGAGGGGGGAAAATAGCTGAACCTCGGGATTGGGAAATGGTGCTGGAGTTGGCCCCGGTGCCCCTGCCCGGTGCGTCGGGG